TTTTCTGCTGTTTATGCACAAATGTCTACTATGTTTGTGGAGCAAGGGTCGGTGATGGACACTACCATTGGTTCCTTCAAAATTCCTGCAGCCTCTCTTTCAACTTTCGATACCATCAGTGTTATTGTGTGGGTACCAGTCTATGATAGAGTCATTGTTCCAATTGCAAGGAGGTTTACTGGAAAGGAGAGGGGATTCTCCGAATTACAGCGAATGGGAATTGGCCTTTTCCTTTCAGTGTTGTGCATGTCAGCTGCTGCTATTGTTGAGATCAAGCGTCTACAACTTGCAAGAGACCTTGATTTAGTGGATGAAGCTGTTGCAGTACCTCTCAGTATCTTTTGGCAGATTCCTCAATATTTTATATTGGGAGCAGCTGAGATATTTACATTCATTGGGCAGCTTGAGTTCTTTTATGATCAATCACCCGATGCCATGCGTAGCTTGTGTAGTGCGTTGTCGCTGATGACTACTTCTTTGGGGAATTACCTGAGCTCTTTCATACTGACTCTAGTAACATCCATAACAACTCAAGGTGGCAAACCTGGATGGATTCCAAACAACTTGAACAGTGGGCATCTCGATTATTTCTTCTGGCTCTTGGCTGCACTTAGCTTCTGCAACTTAGTAATCTATGTTTTCTGTGCCAAAATGTATAAATCCAAGAGGGCATCCTAAGTCCAAGTTGGTTTTACCACCGTCTATCCTTCAAAATGAAAACTTGACGTGATGATTGACTCTTATGTGAAAGAAAACATCTCTGTGCAAGTCACAAGCTAAACAAGTTAGAAATTCTGTACGCTAAACTTTCAAAATCTTTAATGTATATATGAAAGGTGTAAGTGCTCGGAGTTGAACTAACATCTTATTGTTCTTTCAAAGTTGCTTTGCTGCATCCCTCAACGCTTCCACTATTCAAATTATGGCAGCTGCGTTTGCAAATTTCCCTTGTTCCATGGCCTTGGTACTTTTTAATTTTCCTTTCGACTCTTGATAATGCCTTTTCTGAGAGAGATTAGCATACTAAAAACCAACACTAACAATAACGGAATTAACATCACCAACACTACACAATAAAGAAATTAACATATGGGAACGCTATGATGATGAAAACGTGACCCCAAGACCATAAGAACACACGTCAATAAAACCAAAATACATTCTTAAGAAAGAGCAAAAGGAAGACGATGCTTTACATGGGTGGCTCAGTTCATATATAATCCTTCATCGAGCCCACAAAGAACTCTGGCTAGATGAAAGAGAGGAGCAACTTAAGATACTGAGATTATTTAAATAATAATTAAAAAATGAGATTATTTAAATAATAATTAAAAAATGAACAAGGAGGGGTAAATTCATCTGTGAAAACCAAAACCAAGGCAAGCGTAGCTAAAAGAACCCCTTTGTTCGCATAAATTACAAATACAAAGGAAGAAAAAAGAAGGAAACCTAACCTTATCAAAAAAGGAGGAGGAAACTGACTACCCAGAGGACAAGAAATATATATACGAGAACGACATCATGTATACACAGAAAAAAAGACTGAAGCTATCAAATAATGCCCCATTCAACCTTTATTTTAGTTTAATAATCAAGTATAAGTATGCTATAAATAATCATTTATATTTTGATACTAGAAAAATTCAAGTTTCATTTTTGGATGAAGTTACATGATATAACTTTTATTAGTTTAATAGTTTACTCAAGAGTTACTCAATGAATCAGTTGATTGGAATTGCGGGAGGGGTGAATGTTACAGATGATGGATCATTTCTTTTATATGCCTGTCACTTTCTCTTTGTTAGTGTGATCTGCCAATAATAATAGATGAATCAAAAACTTTTCATTCAACTTTCTCTTTTAATTCAAATTGAGATTTTGCCAATCCTCCTATTTTATTTTGCAAAATTTGGAACTTAGGTAAGTGCTGTTTAAACTTATGTATAAAAAAATATATTTCATTTAATTCAGTCCCTTCATGCTTACTATAACTAGTTATTTTGATTTTCTATTAGTGGCTTTGACTATAACCTTACCTCTATTTATTGGTCTGAGTATGATACGACTTATTTAAACTGAATATTTAAAATGAACAATACCTAAAAAAAATCCTTATGTGGGATTACATGTATTTTATATTACTTTATCAATTATCAATTCATGTTCATTCTGATTGAGATTCTTATCAATTTGGATTAATATTTAGGTACCGATAAACATGACTGAATTTTTTCTATTTGGAATCGTGTTAGGTCGAATTCCCATTACTTTGGCTAGATTATTTATAACTGCATATTTACAATATAGGCTTGGTGATTAGATGGTCCTTTGATTAATTAAGATCTCTTTTTGATTGATCTCCTCTTTTCTTTAATTCACAGGCACCAGAGGTCTGAAAGTTATTGAATGAATCTGTTTTATTCTAATTCGATCTAAGAAGAAAAAATCATGTTGTGTAGGATTTAAACCTGTAACATCGGATTTTGGAGACCCATGTTCTACCGAACTAAACTAAGAACGCTTTCTTATCAGAATAGATAAGGCCGTAAACAAAAGGACTTCTTTCATATACCCCAATATATTTTGTATATACATATTATGATAACATGATAAAATCAAGCATTATGTCCAATTTAAAACGATCTCAATATCACATCCCAAAACCCCATCAAAGGCTGTGATGGCGCCTAACCCGCTCGCTAGGCAAGCCAACACTCAATATCAATAAAAGAATCCAATTATTAAACTATCTAACTGTTTCATGATATAAATAACAATGTGGAATAAATCTCAATTCAACATTATAATTACATAATCAATGATAAGGTCCAAACACGACCACAACCGTCTACAACGCTCAAAACACGGTGTCACTATATCACGAGAATCTAATAAGAGCAACTAGAATCAACTGAATAAACACATATGTCCTGAAAAGAAATATATAGACATAAATAGATAAGTAGGGAAAGGGGACTCCATGTGCTGCGAATTGGTCATGCCAAGCAGTTCATCACGAAGCCTCCAATAACACTCCTACTCGGCTCAAGGAAACCACGAATACCAGTCTCATAACCTACACAAAATATGTAGAAGTATAGTATGAGTACAAACCACGGTAATATCAAGTATCAAGTCTAGCCTCGAAGAAGTAGTGGCGAATGTTCCATTTCGACACCTACTAACAACTCAATAAGCATATGAAGTGTAACACTCCGTAAATTCGGATTACGGAGTGTGGGTGAAAATAGTTATTTTATATGTGAAGTACTATCGGGATGAGTATGAGTGGAAATAGTTATTTTAGAATCAAGACGGAGAGTGACGAGCATAAAATTTGATAGAATCGACTAAGTTTATGGGAGGCCCGTCTTACAGCCTTAGACAGTGCAAGGCACTGTCCAGGGCATTAACCTTAGCGCCCATAATAGTGCACGACACTGACCAGGGCATTAACCTTAGCGCCCCTGACAGTGCAAGACTGTGTAGTTTTGGTGCCTCTGATTGCGCCTCTGATGATGCCCTACACCGAAGATGTTTATCCGAGCTACTTTTATTTCCTCCTCAATTTTTGGGATGTGTACACTTATTTAAAAGCCCTACTTCGTCCCCCCACACCCCAAACCACGAAAAATACTCTAGAAAGGGAAGCTATCAAGAATCTAACTCCCCCAAGGTCCCTCCATCATCCAAGGTAAGTTCTAACGATGATTCTAAGTTAATTTCAATTCTCCATAATCTTATTAACATGGGTAAGTCCTTCAAATCATTAGATATTCGATCGAGACACCATTGTTGAGAAAAGAAACTCTAGAACTCGAATTCAAGAGGATTGAAATTCAAAAAGGTAATGCTTCTACTCCCTAATCATTTATAACTATGAATTGATGAGTTTTTGGGAGAATAGTAGATGAGTTTGATAAAGGGAATCAAATGAACTATGCTAGAGTTTTGTGTTGTTGACTTAAGATTGTTATAATCATTTGCGTGATGAGAAATGGTACTAGTTACATATATTTTGGATTGTAGAATCAACTAGAAGTAGTAGAATGAGAATTGGGTAAAGAAAATACCATTAACGAGGGCTATGAAAACACCATTTACACCCAAAGAGTGTTTGATAGAATTCCTATGCTACCAAAACATAAGCATTAGTGCTAACATTGGTTCCTCTTGATATATATTGCCATAGATTATCGTTGAAAGAGGCGACGAACATTGTGATACTCTTAAAATGGCGAGAGTCAAGGTATGTGAGGCTAACTCTCTATGTTTGGGAATGTTAATGATTCTCCCTACACTACGTTTCTTTTACCACGTTACTAATTGCCTTAGAAATATAGTTAAGCTTAGTTCCTTGAATAGTTGCAGAGCTTCTATTCTTTAGCTTCGTAATTCGTTCATGACTTTCATTCCAAACATTATGAGCTCAGTACGTAATCAATATAGACATGGGTTTGATGCCCATGAGTCTCAGTCTAGATTACTCAGCATGTCATAAACTGTCGAAGTTTCAATTTTCATAATCAGTTCATGAATACATGTCTCAGTCTGGTTATATTCAGCATTTCAGTGTCATGTAACTCAATATGATTCAATATTTTAGTATCATGTATTGCAGTATGATTCTTAATCCCTGATTTTAAATCCTTGAATGTTGAACACCTAAATTTGGGCCTGAGGCCGCAATTTATGCTTTATGCATCTTTGGGCCTGAGACCGTAGTTTATGCTTTATGCATCTTTGGGCTTGAGGTCGCAGTTTATGCAGGTGGTGAAGTACAGGTTAACGATTCACAGTGCTAGGATTCTCGTACCAGCTATTTGGTGAGCCCCAATTCTATCGGGGCATTATCATTACTTTACAGTCTTTCGGTATTTACAGATAGTTAGTGTTTTCAGTACTTCATTAGAGGCTTCATAGACTAGAGTAGCAGTTAGACGGAGTCACAGACTTTTCATGTTAAGCAATATTGGCTACAAATATGTTTCAGACACATATTAGTGTTTTCACACTTTGATTTATATTATTCAGACTTTTAGTATATCAGCTTGTGTTAGTTTATCTTCCGTATGTTATGATATCACATGTTGAATCAGCCAACCAGTTGGTTTGCTCGGTCACATATAGTCAGGCACCGGGTGCCGTGTTACGTCCAGGCCCAGGTTCGGGGCGTGACATGAAGTATGAATGTAGTATGAAATAAAGAAGGATATCATTTATCAGGTCTGTCAACAAATCATAGTAGACTGGAATTTAGACATACTTTTCAGGAATATTAGTCAAGGCATCAACTTTTTCACAGAAATAACTTAGGCAGAGATTTATAAAGGTAAACTATAATTTCAAGCTCTAAACATCAAGTAGAGAACCTATTACCAATTAGCATGAGGAAAATAAAACTCTATGCCTGCATGTCAAATATACATGCCAAATCAACAGTTTACATTCAGATCAACAAGTATACACAATCTCATCACATTCATAGTGCCAGACACAATTACCCCTCAATCATAATGTTAGCACTCTTGCGGTAATTGGCACAATATTCCTGAATCATACTCTCAGCACTCTCACGGTGCCTGGCAAAAATGCCCCTAAATCATCACACACACACACACACACACACACACACACACACACACAAAAAAACTTAGCACTGTACGAGTGCCTGACAT